ATAAACATATGAATTTTCCATAATAAACTACGTAAAATAAAGCCAGTGTATCATCATATATTCATATGTGATGTTCACATTACAACATAAAAAAAAACAAATAAATACTAATCCAAAACGACCTGAGTAAAACAGGTATAAAATAATAAATATAATATCTAAACGGTAAAGTATAGGAAAAAATTATAAAATTCGTGATTGATATGAAAATAAATAAATAGGTACTCTATAAGTATGTAACAAATAGGATTCAAAATTATAATGTCTCACATGTAAGAAGGTCTTTGGTTATTTTTTAAAATGGAAATATCTGCTCTACCCAGGCAACCAGATGACGTTCCAGGGACGTCTTTTTTACGTCACTTGAATGACCACGGTGACGTCAGTAGTTGACGTCGCATGACGTGATAATGACGTTAATAAGTCACAGCCCAATGACGTCATATTACTCACGTCGTATTGACGTCATTTACTCATCAGACTGTGATGTCCGACTGACGTCAACATGACGAATAAATCTGGCGATGATACGTAAAAAAGATTCCTTTAACATGGTGTGATAAACACCACTGGCCTCTGATGACATTATGTAATATTGATTATGCATTGTTGAGTCTGCTTGGTGGGTCCCTCCTGTGTCATGTTCATTCAATCGCCTATTCAGCAGCACTATCCTCCAGTACGCATCTCCATCAGAATGCAATCAGTTACTGGTATTTGTATCAAAAATTATGTAGATTGTGTCGGCGAGATCTAAGCAAACAAAGAATAGTTTGATAGCAATGAATAGGATGTTGGCGAATTTGGCATCACTTTGTTGAATAATATTGATGCATTTCTTTGTCACCCAACAAAAATCTAAATAGCAAATTATTGAAACGATTTCTGAATGACGAAGCTCACCAAATTGGTACGTCACCCCGACGTGATTTTTATAGACGTCATAGATACGTCCCTGCAACGTCATAAGAATAACGGTTCCAATATATGTATACCTTTTAACAATCATTTGTATATATACATAGCTTGTTTGTTTCCGAGATATACAGTGTGTCAAAGTTTTTTTAGCAAGAAGTTTTCTCCTTCTTTCCGGGTATATTAATAATTCCAATGAAACTTCCCAGGCAACCAGATGACGAATGATCACGTCACTGTGACGTCCACGTCCCTAATTGGTGATTTTTCTTCAGAGACGCCACACACCAATTCATGACGTCACTATGACGTTATAATCACGTCATCGTTTCGACGTCGAGTGAACGTCACTTAGATGGGTGAAAGAAGACGTCAGATTCATGACGTTATAGGGACGTCCTGTCGACGTCCCTTTTTCCCAGACCTCTTAACCATGAATACTTATATATTATTATGTGAAACAGAAGTATAACTCATGAAAGCAAATCAACATGCAAGTTTTATTGGAATTATTATTATACCCGAAAAGTAGGAGAAAACTTTTTTCTGAAAAACTTTGACACACTGTATATCTCGGAAACTTACAAGCTATGTATATATACAAATGATTGTTAAGGTATACATATATTGGAACCGTTACTCTTATGACGTTACAGTTACGTATCTATGACGTCTAAAAATCACGTCGGTGTGACGTACCAATTTGGTGAGCTTCGTCATTCCGAAATTTTTTTCAATAATTTGCTATTTAGATTGAAAAAGAATGCATCGATATACATTATTCAATACAGTGAAGCCAAACTCGACATCATTTCCATTGCTATCAAACTATTCTTTGTTTGCTTACATCTCGCCGACACAAACTACATAATTTTTTATACGAATACGAGTAACTGATTGCATTCTGATGGAGATGCGTACTGAAGGATAGCGCTGCTGAATAGGCAATTGAATGAACATGACACAGGAGGAACCCACCAAGCAGACTCAACAATGCATAATCAATATTATATAATGTCAACAGAGGCCAGTGGTGTTCATTACACCACATGTTGAAGGATTTTTTTTACGTATCATCGCCAAATTTAATCGTCATTTTGACTTCATTATGAGGTCAGTCGGACGTCACAGTTTGGTGAGTGAATGACGTCAATACGACGTGATTGGGCTGTGACTTATTCACGTCATTATCACGTCATGTGACGTCAACTACTGACGTCACCTTGGTCATTCAAGTGACGTAAAAGAGACGTCACTGGAACGTCATCTGGTTGCCTGGGTTTACATGTTTATTTGCTTTCATGAGTAATACTTCTGTTTCACATGATAATATATAAGTATCCATGGTTTAGAGAGGGTCTGGGAATAATGGACGTCGACAGGACGTCCCTGCAACGTCATGGAATTGACGTCTTTTTTTACTCATCTAAGTGACGTTCACTCGACGTCGAAACGATGACGTGATTATCCCGTCATGAAAAGTACGACATAGTGACGTCATAATTTGGTGTGTGAGGTCTCTGACAATTAGGGACGTCACAGTGACGTGATGATTCGTCATCTGATAGCCTGGGTAACGTATGTGAGAAGAAGCTCTTTGTAGAAGTTCAAAACAGCACAATCGTTTAGTCTTTGCTGCGTCATCGTGAACCGTACGTTTTTAACCTTCGCAGCCGCGAAAAACTCCTTTCTGATGTGCAAGACGTAATGGGAATGGCGAAAAATAATTGAATAGCTGTGAAAAGTTCTGAAACTAATTCTTTCAGATGATTATTGGAATTGAAATATTTGCTACATCTGAAACTGACATAAATTCTTCGTCCCGTGTGTATATAGTCAAGAAACAAATATTTTCATGTAAAATCAACCTATGCAAGTCAAAATCTGTATAATAGTGTTTTTCAATAACATCATTCTCATATGCTGATCTTGTTTCAGAATAAAATTTTACATTTTGTCTCGAAATCAATTTGGCTTCAGAGAGAAAATGTCTACTCAAGATGCTATTCTTAGTCTAACCAGTAAAATCAACACATCCTTAAACGAGAATAAGCCTGCTTGTGCATTTTCATAGATTTGTCAAAATCATCCATCAGTCACAACTACTTATGCAATCTCTGGAGGATATCGGCATTCGAAATAATTGTCTCGAACTGTTCAAGAATTATCTCACCGATAGACATCAGGTTGTGAAATTGGATGATGCACTCATGAGCGGATCAAAATTAATCGAGTATGGTGTTCCACAAGGTACTATGTTATGGGCCCAATCCTATTTAATATATACATAAATGGATTGTTCTCAGAACGAGGCAACGGTGAGATCATTGGTTTCGCTGATGACACCGCCATTTTGTATAAAGCAGACAATTGGGATGATTTCAAAATAAAAGCAGAGGAAGATTTCAACCGCATAAAAAAATGGCTCGATCATAAATCGCTTACATTGAATCTAGACAAAACAACATACTTACCATTTAGCTGTAACAAATCAAATATCCCTCCATTCAATTGTCTAGAAGTGAATATACATGGTAAAACAACAGCAATAAAACCTGATACAAAAACTAAATACTTCAGAGTATATATTGACACCCATTTAAGATGGGACTCATATAATATATGTAACAAAAAAAATACAATCACTTTTGTATAAGTTCAAATATTGAAAAAAAAACTACCAGCTTCACACCTAAAAACTGTGTACCTTATTTCCCTGGCTGAAAGTCATCTGCGCTACGGAATATTAGGTTGGGGTGGTGCAGCTGATACTCATATCAAACCTCTTGCAGTAGTGCAGCGGCGACTTCTCAAAATCATCTTCTCCAAAGACTCTGTATACTCCACAGATCAACTTTACTCAGAAGCCAAAATACTCGATATCCGGCAACTGTATTATTTTGCGTCTAATTTGAAATATCATCAGAATGAACATTCAGCACCCCTACCGTCGCATGACTATAATACACGTCAACGACATCATTATTTTGTCCCACAAATGTCTAAAACATCATGCCAACGAGCATTTATCACCTTATTCAATTTATAGTGTTGCTGCAACTCATGTTTGTTATTGTTAATCATTTTATATTTGTACAATTCATCTATTACTTGTATTTTCATCTCGAAACAACTGTTCATTCACTTATCGAGTACCTATATGCTCATTTATTCGACAATATTTCATAATGATATTATCAAAATGTACCTACTGTATGAATGATATTGAATAAATGATATATTATTATTATGGGAGCGCCGTCTCCGATATACAGGGTATCAAAGTTCGAGATGTCTTTCAAGTTTTCAGAATGAATTTTCAAAATAATGAATTGAAGTTTGGTACCCCTATTATTACACAAAAGAAACTCAATATTCAGTGTTATTAGGCGATTTCGTTTACCTACAGGGTGATACACTTTTGGGGGTTATACCCAATTCAACCCTCTTGAACTTTTCTGCCTGCTGCTTTAACATTAATTTAGATCATCTGTTTTGTTTGGATACTTTTTGTTCCCTTTTATGTTTTTCGAAAACTGTATGGATTTTGAAACATATGCCATTTAAAGATAATTAACAGTTAACTTGTGATCAAAACTTTTATTTTTGAACACACTGTATTTATTGACATTTCTTAATAATTGACTAGAAGACCTGGAATTATCGAGAGCTTTCACAAGGTTGATGAAATTCAGAGGCAAAACAAGAAAAACACAAAAAATATATGGAAATATCACACCAAGTACATTTCAAAAGGAAGAAAAAAAAACAATTGAAACGTTCATTCAATTCCAGAATACGAGGGTTGGTTATTCTTGAAGTGGAAAACAATGTATGAATAACTAAAATTCAATTCGTGGCATTCATTATTTAGTAATATCATCAGTAAAAATAATGCAACTTGCTAAGAATGATATTTTAATTACAAAATTGTTTAGATAACATAGTATTTGCAATCAAATAATAGAGTTTCATTCAAATCTTGCAGTCAATTTTCATCCTAGAGAAAATTATTTTGTATAAACCTACAGCAGACAGTATTTGCTGAAGGATGTTCATCACAATAACGTTCCAAAGTGGACCCTCTATTCTGACACCTCCATTAATTGTTCCTTATATTCATGATACAGTCTTTGCCATGGTAATTTCGTTTTGACGAGCCCAAGCACTTCAGTCAACAAATTCTTTTTTGAAGCATCCTGAAAGGAAACGTCGAAGAGGTCATGTGCATCTATGTACAGAATTATTCATCGAAGAGGCCCACTCCTATTTTAACTTAAATTTTTACAGAGCCAAAAACCATATGCGGAAGTTGAATTAAATCAATTTTTTCTCGGATGGACTACTATACTTCTAAATTTCTTTCGAAGTCTGTAATTGCTTGTGATCCAGGAAAACAATTTTTTAGATATCGCGTTAGCCATTAATGAAAATGAAAATATATTTGACAGTTGAATCCCAGTTAACTACACATGTGTCAGTTCTATCACAAGAGAGATCAGTCAACTTTGTTTCACCACACCGTCCTGAAACATATGCAACTTGCATCTAAAATTCAACATGTTACTTCTACAAATCAGTGTTTCATCACACGTGATAAAATTGAGGCATCCTAGGCGTTTTCACAAGGGATATCAATTAAAGAACTTTGTTTCAACACACGTTCTATCAAGGTGATAACATTGAGGCATATCCCAGGCGTCATCACAAAGGAGATCAATTGAAGAACTTTGTCTGATCATACGTTCTATCGCCGTGATAAGATTGAGGCATCCTCGGCTTCATCACAATCTAGATCAATTACAGAACTTTGTGGCATCACAACGTTCTTAAAATGAACTAATGTAAATTGCATCTATTCGTGCTTGTATAATAACATATGCCTAATAAGAAATTGGGATTTGTTCAATTATTGTGGAAAGAGTAGGTACGTGAAATCTCAAAGTTGTGGTTCAACAACCACGAAGACGAACAATGTCATAAGCATAAGTTCTGTGCTTTTTCCATGTATTGTGTTTACTGGGCTTTCCTAACATCACTTCCTCCTGTGATTTTCAAGAAATTTTGTAGCAGCACAGAAGTCAGGAGGACGATCTCTAGTTGTTAACAAAAGAAAACTAATATGAAATTTCACTAAATGACCAGAACGACCAAAATTACCAGCCTCTTAGTCTCGCTTTTATATTTGATGGCATTGATGATTCTTTCGATTCATCAGGACATTGAGATGAATTCGGAGCCTCTGCTGATGTAAGTGATTAAAATGAAGTCATCAGTACCAATGTAAGTACTTCAACATATGATTAGCATACCTTTGCTTATCATCATCATGTCTAAGCGAAACTCATTTGAGCTGTATATCTATCACCATCAAATTTATAATTATTGATTCATTATTCGTAATTCATTGACCACATGAGATAAATTTGATACATAGATGTTTATGTTTTGATACCTACTTTATTTAAGCTAGGTTTGAGGCAGGTTTCAAATTTAATTACTTTAGTTTCTTTGTATCGATCCAGGAAATCCAAATCTGCAATTTGAGTGACAATATTTGTATCTGGAGCTTGTGTTTTGTGTTATATTTTTATTATGCTACTACAGTTTGAAATTAATTTTTACTTCAGATGGGGTTCAAGAGAACATTTGCAATTTCAGCAGAAGTGCAATAAACTGAATAAACATATCCAGACATCTTCCTCTATCCTCTTCCTGAAATCGAAGGAACCAATATAGAAGAATTTGAGGATATATAATTTGATGAAAAATAATTTCTTGGGTGATGCAGATTGCAGATATCATTTAAGAGGAAAATTATCAATTTCAATTCAGAAAGCATACTACAAAGTTATAGGCAGTTTCAACCTCCAGCGAGACTTCAAGGTAAAATTGATCAACATCCTTATTCAAGTATGATGTTGCATCACTGATATAAGTCTGTGATTTTATTCGAGGAGGACATTCATATATGCTATATTTCTCTGTGATGAAACATGGAACGTTTGAAATAAGCAGTGATAAAGCTGCTGCATGTTTTGGTCAACCAGGATCTTGCAACATTATCGAATACATTCGAAAATTTAATGAAATCACCAAATTCATCACACAGAAAGTGTTTTCCTAGAGGCACAAAAGTTGTAAAAAAGAACAGTAGAACATAATAACTAACCCTAAAAGGTCTTTACAAAAAGATACCACACATTCCTCAGAACGAAATAATTCGATACAAGCGAAGTTACTTCAGTACAAAGTTGCTTAGTTTGGGCGCTAGACGGCTCTGAAAGCTCGAAGAACATTCAAATCGATTTTGCTTCCTAATTTTGGAACGGCTCATGATATTTTATCCTTTGGTACCATGGCATAGCTTCATTGGGCAATGAAACCCATATCATGATTATGATAAATATCATTCGATGGGCATGAAACTTGATTTTTTCAGTAAATATACATTTAATATTTCTACTCCAATGAAAAGGAAGTGGTTTGAATATGAAATTTGGATTGCGTAACTTGTTTACTACAAGAAAGGTACTCCTGATAAAATTACTCTCATGGTCTCGACAAAATTTGAATTTTCAAGTAACAAAAATGTATACGACGAAAAAAAGAACTAAATGTGCAATCAGATATTTTTTGTTGTAGTACTGAGTAAGCCAAATTAGTCTAGCGCCCAGACGGAGCAACTATGTACTGAGGTGAATTTGCTTGTATCCAATATTTTTGTCGTATAAATTTTTGAATACCTGAACATTTCGAACAAATTTCATGATATATATGTTGATCGATTTTATGTTAACTGATGCTTTGAATTACAAAAATTCAAATTTTGTCGAAACCATCGGAAAAATCGAATCTCATTGTGACAGTGGGCTAAGCAATGCAGCGCACGACGTGGCAGAACGCACAAGCGGGCCAAGAGAAACATGAGAAGAGTCAACGTCAAAAAGCGAGGTAGAAGTTGGCACAGGCAATAGACAGCCAGTCTCGATCAGCAACCCACTGAACACGCATGTAAATGTAATGTCTTGTGATGTCCGTCCGGCCGGACTCATGTCGTGGTATTTGTAAATGTTAAAGTAGTCGTGGAATAAAAGACTATGAGAGTGTAAACGATGTTTTATTAGCCAGTGCAGTTATCACATTTTGGCGACGAGGATTCAAATCGGTACGCGCGTGGCTTGTGGCTTGGCGTCACCCGGCAAAAATGGCCGCGACAACCGTGTTTCAAGAATTCCATATGGACATTGACGATTGGATAATTTACCAGGAAAGACTCCAAAATCACTTTGTGGCTAATAACATCAAAGACGATGCAATAAAAGTAGCAAACTTACTAAGTTTGATCGGAGTTAAAGATTATAAATTACTTCGGAACCTATTCCTGTCAAGAAAACCCAACGAGGAAACGTTCGATAACCTGTGTACAAAGCTGAAGGAACATTGCTGTCCTAAGGAGAACGTTTGGCGTAACCGACGCAGATTTTATGGGTGTTTCCAGGAGGAAGAAGAACCAGTTGCAGAATATTGTGTACGGCTTTCTACGTTAAGCGAAAATTGTGATTTTGGAACCCGTCTGACAGATATCATGAAAGATAAGTTCATGGCAGGCATAAAAAAGGGCCCAGTGTTAGACAAGCTATGTGAGGAAAAACTAACTGCGACATATGAAGAACTCAAACAAAAAGCAGTGGACAAGGAAAATCTATCAGCAGGAAAGACAGAGATACAAGATGTAAATTTTCAACAAAGAAGAAACCATAGAAGTGATAGAAACCAAACTAGCAGAGGAAGTCAGAGCTCATCGGACCAATACCAGACAAGCAGAAATCAACTACACCAATCCGCGTCAAGGGACGAAGCCAGCTCATTGGCTAATTTCAATCAAGCAAGTCGGCAACGCCGCGGACAATACGGTACCACGGGCAGCAGAAGGTGGCAAGAAAGACAATTACGGCCGTTAATGTCGTCATCATCACGTGATTACCAAAATGGACTCCGTTGTGATGTATGCGGTAATCAACATGGAGGTTATTGCAGATATAGGAATTATTGGTGCTCAATATGTAACAAAAAAGGGCATTTAGCCAGAGTATGTACTCGGAAGCACATAAATTTTATGGACGATGAGAAAAATGCAGGTAGGTAACATAGTTGATAATGAGGGGGAATCCTGGCAGAATGGAAGTTTTGTGTCCGATGAAAGATGAAAAGTCAGGTCAAGCAGTCTGTCCTTTGTTTTCTATATCATCGAATGTTGACGAAAATCAATTTTTCTTAGATGTAAAGTTAGGAAAGAAAAGATTCGATTCTGGAAGTTCTGTAAGCTGCATAAATCATGAAACCTTTTCAAAGCATTTTGCTAATGATTTTGAATTGAAACAAGATAATACCGTTCTGAAGAGCTACAATGGGTCCATCTTTGCTCCCAAAGGTTACTAAATGTAACTTACAGAAAGAGAGTAAAACAGATTGCCTTGCATGTAATAGCCAATGGTGATCCATCAATATTGGGGCGTGATGTCATAAATATTTTTGATTTAAAAATTCGAATGATAAACACAATACAAGAGGAAGTTCGTCCTGTGGGGGAAATTAAGACATCGATAAAGAAGTACTCTAATGTGTTCAGTAACAAATTGGGATGTTTTAAGCATGCAAAACTGTCACTGTCTCTCACTGAAAATGCCATACCTCTATTTTGCAGACCCAGGACACTGCCCTTAGGATATAAGAAGCCAGTGGAAGAACAGCTAGAGCAGATGATACAGGAAGGAGTATTGACCCCAATTGAAACAAGCAAGTGGGCCACACCACTGGTTCCAATAGTAAAACAGGATGGAATTATAAGAATTTGTGCAGACTACAGGTCCACAGTTAACAAGTACATAATGGAGGAAGTATATGCATTGCCCAGGATTGATTAAATCTTCGCAAAGCTCCATAAAGGTAAGAAATTGAGTAAATTAGACCTTTGCCAGGCGTATAATCAATTTGAGCTTGATGACGAGGCCAAAAGGCTGTTAGTCTGGTCCACCCATAAGGGGCTATTGCAAATGAATAGGCTTTCTTTCGGAGTGGCACCTGCAAGTGCCAAGTTTCAACGTTACCTTGAGCAAATTCTGCAAGGAATAGATAATTGTGCAAATTATCTAGATGACATCATTATAACAGGGGAAAATAACAAGGCACACTTGGA